TGCAACTAAGTTTGTATATTTGGTGAATCTTTGACATTCGTCCGGAGTCATTTCGTATAGGGCAGAGGACCTCTGGTCAATATTCCACTGCAGTTTGGGCATAAGTGATCTGATAGAATCAGCACAATTCATTACATGACGTCGGAGGGATTCGTATTTGGATACTGATGTTTATGATGATGATTAATTCATGTTGAAACAGCTTACAAGTGATTTCAATTTACTTAAATGTTAGACAGTCGAATATAGAGTATTGAGGCAGGATTCTGTTTTAATTACCATAGCTAGTGAGAAGTGATTTTTGAATACTGAATTCCGTTTCAAACTCAACATTAAAATCACACAGTAAATGTTTTGAAATACCTTTTGTTGTTTTCGTTATCATTTTTTATTATTATTATTATTTTCATGCCATTCCACCCCGTTCTGAGTGGAACGTAGGGGCTCAACAACACATCTCCACTTAGTTCAGTTTTCTGCTGTCCTCCTTACCTGGGTCTACAATTGACCAAACTCTCTCATCTCTTCCTCACGCGGTCTCCTTCATGTCATCCTCGGACAGACGACCCACTCATTACTTCCTATTTAGTTTCCACTGAAGCAGCGGCCGGGCGTGCGATGTCATTCGGTGGCCTCCTCAATCTATGTCATATCCTTCTCCATTTACTACTACATATTTGTTAAGCGATCACCTCTCGCTTGTTGTCTTGTTCTCATAGTTCCTTGTTGCTTATTGTTCCCGGCCAGACGGCCATTTGGCCTTCAGTGTGGAACGAGAGAAAACAGCTGTTGGTAAAAGTCTGCCACAAGCTGTTGCAGATCCTTTTCGTGACACGCAGTGCAAGTTTCTGACCCGTAAAGAAGGACCAACTTGACACTGGTGTTGAAATTACGAATCTTGTTCCTCATGCTGAGTGCAGAAAACATCCACTTTGATTATGTCATGTCTCGACTTTCCGATTTTTGCCAGCTTTAACATTTTCATCTCTACCATCTGTAGTCGAAACGACAATACCTAGCCGGATAAGTGGAGGAAATAAGCTCTATTAAATCTTGCCCGTTGATAGTGGTTAGTGCTGGTTGTTGTTGTTGTTGCAGTTCGTCGAAATCCCCATCAATTCCGTCTTCTCTATATCCTGTCTTCGTTGTATATCTCTTCAGCCAGTTTGTTGGTTTTTCGCCTGTCGACACTAGCGAAGAGACCAGCGTCTAAAAGCACTGGAATAGCCTGAAAGCACTGTGGAGTCAAACCTGCATGGAATTTATAGGCAGAAAGAAGAGACTGGAGAAACAGTCGCTGTCTGGAGACACTTGGAGACTAGTAGAGGAGAAAAGGATGTTGAACCAAAAGATTATCCAGTGCATCGTGGAGCAATGAAAACAGGAGCTGAATGCAAGCTACAATACACTGAACAAAAGAGTAAAGAAGAGTGCCAAGGAAGACAAAAGACAATATTATGAAGCTATGGCAAGTGGAGCAGAACAAGCTGCAGTGCAGGCAAAAACACTCCACCAAACAACTTGGTTCCTATCGCGAAAACGGTCAATGCAAATCAAGTCAGTGAAGCATGACAACGGAAATTCAATCATCAAAGAAGTGGAGCAAAGGAAACACTGGTCCGAATACTTCAAAAGACTTCTAAATCGACAGCCACCTGCAACGCACCCAATAATGCCAACAGTGGAGGCAGCACCGCTACCAGGGGACATCAGACCTCTGCTGACAACAAAAGTCTTGAAGGCGATCAGGCTGCTAAAACCTGGAATAGCCTCAGAACCAGACGGAATCCCAGCAGAAGTATTGAAAGTGGACCTGGAGACATCAGCGGACTTGGAGACCACACTGCAGGGGAGAATGTGGGAAGAGGGCAAGATACCGATGGATTGGGAGAAGGCTACTTATTCAAACTGCTAAAGAAAGGCGACTTAGGCGAACGCAAGAATTGGCGCGGAATTATGCTTCTGTCCATCCCAAGCAAAATACTAAGCCGCATCATCCTGGAGAGAATCAAACACGCCAACCTGGATGATAAACTTCGACCCGAACAAGCTGGATTCAGGAGAAACGAGTCATGTATTGATCAAATCGTCACACTACGGATCATCATTGGACAAACCTTAGAGTGGCAGTCACCTCTCTCTTTCTCAACTCCAACCACTTTGAAAAGGCCTTCGACAGCGCAGCGTCGATCGAGAGGTGATTTGGCATCTATGTCGCTACTACCAAGGGGTCCCGTCGACAATTATACATCTCATCCAACATTTATACGACAATGCTACATGCCAAGTAATCCACAACGGGAAAATTATGGAATCCTTCGAATTGAGGACGGCAGTGAGGCAAGGCTGTCTACTATCGACAATGATCTTCCTGAGTGCAGTAGATTGGATAATGAGACAGACAACGGGCAATGAGGAAACAGGCATAAAATGGACTCACACAGAAATCTTGGAGGATCTGTACTTCGCCGATGATATATGTGTGATTTCCCATAAACTGGAAGATATGCAAGTGAAAAGCGACAAGCTGGCAGAAGAAGCATCAAAGATAGGACATCCTTCAGGTGAACATGTATAAAACAGAGGTGATGAAGATTCCTGGCCAACACCAGCGGCAACAGCAACAACAACAGACCAAAATCAGCCGGCATAAATGGGAGGAACCTGAAAGGAACAACCTCCTTCACCTACTCTAACTGGGAAGCATCTTTTCAATTACAGGCGGAACTGACGAGGATATCAAAGCCGGAATCGGAAAAGCAAGACAAGCTTTCATTACTCTCAAGTCTGTGTGGAGGTCAACAGCACTCAGCATGAAAATGAAAATAAGATCCGGATTTTCAACTCCAATGTAAAGTCAGTGCTACTATACGGATCTGAGACTTGGCAAGCCATAAGGAGCATCTCAGACAAACTCGAGACCTTCATCAACAGCTGTCTTTTTAATTTTTTTTATTTCTATTTACAGCTTGATTCCACACTGTATTTTTGGTACAAATATGGAATTTTCAACACGGATATCGGTAGCCCAAATTTCGAAGGCCGACCATAGATATCAGGTGTGCGTTGGCAGGGGATCGAACCTCAGACCATGTGCATGTTCAGCGAAAGTCCTAACCATTGTGCCACCGATGCACAACACTTCACTCAACACTCAAGTTCAGATGGCCAGAAGAGATCAGCAACAGGGATCTCTGGGAGCCAACCAACCAGGAACCGATTGTGAAACAAATAAGCAGGAAGAAATGGAGATGGATTGGCTGGCCATACTCTGAGGAATCCATCAAGTGACATCACTAGACAAGCCATTGCTCGAGTGGAACCCGAAGGGGAAGCCGCGAGTTGGTCATCAGTGCAAGGGTGACTTGGAGGAGGTCATGTGAAGAGGAGATAGAAGCGTGTGAGCAGACTTGGAGTGGGGTGAAAACGTAATCAGAAAACCGAAGGCAATGGAGGCGCGCAGCTGAAGCCCTATATTCCTCTAGGAATTAAAGGAAACAATAATAATAAACACTTTAAAGATGGCAGCATCCAATTTATTACTGCGGTAAATGCGGAATTCTTCTACGGACAAGGAATCGGTATCCAGCGTCGAGGATATCGCCAGGAGTCGAGAACATGGATGTAATTTTGATCAACGAACACCTGAACACCAAAAAGTTAAAGTCAACTGTGAATAGTCAGTGAAAGAGCAAGTGGTTTGGAAGTGAAGCATATTTGATGAGATTAACCAAGTGATAGCCAAAGCAAACAAATTTCTTGGACTGCAATGGGGTTCATTGTATGCCCCCCTAACTGAATTGCATGAATATCTTTTTGTTACACAATCTCACTGAAGTGATCAACACACTGATGTTATAAATGATAAGTAAAATTCACACAACAAACAGTGGCGAAGTGCATTTATATGGAACAAATATGAGATACAAACGATTCAGTTGAATTGTAAGTCGAGTATATGATCTCATGTTCCATGAGTGAACTGCATCAGCGGGGAAATGTGAAAAGTTCAACAAACTGGTTCAGACGACCTTACCACTGCTCCTCAACACTCGACACAATATCTTTGCTAAAACACTCTCATTGTGTGAAATTACTTCTAAAATACAAATAATTAGTAACACTGACAAATTTTCATTAAACAAACAACGCATTCACTTGACCCGAAATCACACGAATAATTCTGCCAGGTGTAAATTCTTCCGTCATACGATTTGAAGCAGCTGTCGCGTGTTGTCATTATGTGTGGGCTGGTGATCACTGATTATGATCACTATTTTTATAAATGACTGGAATTCGTTAATCGCTAACTCTCCCGAAGAACGAGGAAACGAAAAGACTGAGGTAAGAGGAATGGAAACTGTGATACCTTTTTGAACACAAGATGACGGACTTGCAATATTATCTGACATGCTTGACAAGAACACACTCTTTGTCACCAGGGTGTACGATCTATCAACACGTGTAGATGCAAGCTGATGGTTCTCTTCAATGAGCTCAACACAAACGAACCTCACAATCAGCATATCCTAGCTTCTCTTGTCTTCTTGCCAGATCACCACTCCAAAAGCAATCCCCATCATTCTCTGGTTCTCCCGAAGCAGCATGACTGTACCTGGGTTATTGATCTCCACGGTACTTGCTTCTATCCAGAAATAATGTTAGCTATTTATGAATAGTCATGATCAACAGAGTTGGCCACACTGCATACGTCAAAATTGACGGTTCAACAGTAATAATTGTTTTCCAAGGTGGATTGGGAATTTCATCCCCTTTTCTTCTTATGTGTCGACGGATGACGTGGTTAATCATTAAACATAAAACATCAAACAGGTTTCCTCACCGTTTAGAATCGAATAAGTGATCAGGTGTTAGGCACTAATCCAGTGACTAGCATAGTTACAACAGTTATTGTTGTAATTAATTGTAATCGTAGTATTAGTATTTCGAGATGACCGAATTACAAGAATCCAAACAAAACACAGAGAGGGCAGAACTCAGGAATTTGTATTTAGCGGAATTCTAATTCAATTCATATTAGAAACATATCAACAGTCAACAGTAAGTATTTAAACAATACAGAGATAGAAATTGTCAATCACCACATCCGCCACACGTTGAATGTCTCCTTGCGTATTTATAATGATATCGCGGTTTGCTTGCCAGTCTCTGCGATCTTCTAACTGATTCGGTGATATCATTTCCATCAGTATCATCTAGACTTATTTCTGAATTATCTAGAAAGTCAGGATTAGTAGCGGAGTCATTATAATCATAATCGGAACGACCTACCTCATTTATTCTCACTTGATCCAAGTGTCTGTTATGAACTGAATTATCTTCGATGTCTAATATCTTCACCATTCGATTTCTCATTCTTTGTAGTATGATACCAATAGAAGGTCTATAATCATTCCCTCTGTAATAATGTACATCAGAAGTCGTGGACATCAGATGCTTTCTGAGAATTCGGGATTTGAATAGTTTTGCAGGACTTTCACGGGTACTTGTATGCTCCGCATTGCGATATTGAAGTAAGAAGTTATCCACAGATCTCTCTAGCTCATCAAAATTTTGAGGACTCATTGATGCTATAGCACTCTTTAATGTTCGTACAAAATTTTCTGCCAACCCGTTTGAATGAGGATGACGTGGTACTGTGTACAAATGACGACAACCTATATGTTTGAGCCAATCATTGAAGTTCTTCTCCGTAAAATGAGTACCATTGTCAGTAACTAAGACATCTGGAATTCCTTCTCGACTAAAAATCTTTCTCAACGCTCTGTGAGTGAATTTGGCATTAGGACTATCTGTAATGATGACTTCTGGCCATCTAGAATAAGAATCCACAATAACTAAAGCATAATATGAATTTAAGAATGGACCACAGTAATCTGCATGAATACGCTGCCAAACCTCACAAGATGCAGGCCACGGTGTCCACGATGACTTCCCATAGGACATTTTATGTAAACAGCTAGAACAGCTCTTTGATCTTTTGTTAATGTCAGCATCAATTTCCGGCCACCAGCATGTTAGGCGTGCTAATGATTTCATCTTATCAGCTCCTAGATGAGCAGAATGTAGATCATCCGAAAGTGCAGATCTTAATGTTGGAGGAATAATAATTCTGTCATTCAGACATAGAAATCCTTCAGGATGAACTGAAATCTCATCTCTTCGCTTATAAAAGTCTGGAAATCTTCGCTTACACTGAACATTCCAACCTCTTTTTGTTGCATTTATAACGCATCCGTAATATTTCCGAGTATCATTTATAAGTCGAACTCGATCCACCGGTAACGGCTGGACTAATAAGCAATCAGTATCATTAGCAGCATTTTCAAATAATGAATAACGAGATAAGAAGTCTGCATGAGGTATATCCTTTGCCGATCTATGTTCAATAGTGTAATCATATGCACTTAGTTCTAAACTCCATCTTTGAACCATAGCAGCAAATGATTTATTCAAAGATCTTTCTGGATTGTAAATGAATTTCAAAGCTTGATGATCAGTAACTATGTGAAACTTAGTACCAAAGAGATACTTGTGCAAGCGTCTTATTGCCCATACAACTGCTAAAACTTCTTTCTGGGTTTGTGAGTACCCTTGTTCACTCTTACTTAGACGTCTTGAAATACAAATAACAGGTTGTCCATTTTGCTCAAGTACTGCAGCTATACCCATAGGAGAAGCATCTGTAGTGAGAACAGACTTATCTTTCGATGAAAAAGGTCTTAAGAAAGCTTGTTTATTAAGAAACTCCAAAGTTTTCCGCAAGATATTCTCATGTTGTTGTTCCCACTTAAACTGTTTACTGGAGACAATCTCAAAAAGTGGAGATAACCGTTGAGTGAAGTTGGGAATGAATCTGGAGTAAAACTGAAGAGTACCTATCCATGATCTCAACGATGACATATTATTAGGTGACGGTGCTTGAATTAGAGGTGCCAAACGACTAGCATCAGGTCTGAAACCTTCGGAGTCTACTGTGTATCCCAAGCATGATACAGACGACAAAGTGAAATGGCATTTAGATGGATTAACAAGAACATTATTCTCACATAAACGCCTGAACAGTTTTAAAAGACGTTCATTATGCAATTCGATATTAGGACCATGAACTATAATGTCGTCTTGGTATGACTCAACACCATCTAATCCATCTATCATCTGATTTATTACATTTTGAAATATTGCAGGTGAAACCTTTAAACCAAAAGGCAAGAACTTATACTTGAACAATCCAAATGGAGTATTAATGGTTGTTAATGCACTAGACGCCTCATCAAGAGGAATTTGCAAATAGGCATCTTTTAGATCTATTTTTGAAAAGTATCTTGAGCCATGTAGCTTGTAGAGAATGTCTTCAGTTTCTAGAGTAGTGCAACTTTGCTGTAGTAGACGACTATTGAGTGTAAGGCGGTAGTCACCACAAATTCTAGGTGTTTTTCCATCAGCCTTTAGTGGCGTAACAATAGGAGTAGCCCAATTTGAAGACTCAACTGGCATAAGTATGCCTTGCTCAACCAACTTGTCTAACTCTTTCTTAACTGCATCTCGCAATCCATATGGAATTAATCGGCGTTTCAGGAAGATAGGATCACCCTCTATTTCAAGATGGATGGGCTGAATCTTCATACCACCTACACTCTTTGAGCATTGGAGAAGTAATTCTCTGAACAAAGATTCATCAAACAACTCAGTACAAAGTGAAATTTCGACATTTAACAATCTAAGGGCTTTTAATCCCAATAGAGATGGACCATATTCACTAACAAGAAAGGAAATATTTACAAAATTACCACTGTCTGATTTCAAAGAAATGTTAGTAGCCCGTATAAGAGGTAATTTATGACCAGTTATGCCTGTAATTGAACTAGAAGTAGGGTCTATCTGGACATTCTTACAAATCGATTGTAAATCTTTCTTAGAAATTATAGATTCAGTACTCCCAGTATCAATTATAAAACAATGGGACTTGCCTGAACTTGTAGTGAAGGTTCTCATTAGATGAGATTGAGTATTGGGAAAAGTTGAAAGAGACATCGACTGCATTTTACCAGATAAACTGGAAGAATTATCAGGATTCTGAGTAACATAAGTATTCGAACTTCTGCAAATAGTCTTGATGTGTCCAACTTTACCACATTTGTGACACTTAGCACCCCGAAAACGGCAAGTGCTTCGTAGATGTAACTTTCCACAGGATAAACACAGTTTAATGTTTTTGATCCCTGGTTGCATTCTATTACTTGTGGACGGCAGTTTGGATTGCTTCCCATGACCACTTGTATTTTCGACTTTAGAAAGCATGACATCAGATACTGACGTAGTGGGAGCAGAGTATTCATTATTGACATCTTCATATGTAATACATAAATCCTTAGCATTTTGAAAAGTACAAGAAGGAATCTGGTTTAACTCTTTCTCTAATTTAGGAATATTGATTTCAGCAATTAGACGATCACGTAGTTGAGTATGCAGCTGATCTCCAAAGTTACACTTTGAAGCTTGTATTTGGAGTTGCAGAATAAAGTCTCTAATCTTCTGGTTGGGAGCACGAACCAGTTTATGGAGTTGAGCCCTCTCTCTGGTCTCTAAGGTAGTTATATGGAAGTGATCTATCAGAAGTTCACGGAGTTTATAATATGGCAGAGAAATTGGTTTATCTGGAAACGACAGAGTCTTCATTAGGCTATACGCATCTAGCCCAATAGCAGTGATGATATGTGCTGGTATTTTGTCATCCTGAACGTTCTTTGAAATTCACCATGCATCAAAGCATTCAAGGTAATCAGCAATCTCCCGCGGAGACCCATCAATAGGAAGTTTTTCCAGGTTATTTAGTTCCGTCGCGACGCCAATTTGTAGTAATTTATTGTATTCGTAGTATTAGTATTTCGAGATGACCGAATTACAAGAATCCAAACAAAACACAGAGAGGGCAGAACTCAGGAATTTGTATTTAGCGGAATTCTAATTCAATTCATATAAGAAACATATCAACAATAAACAGTAAGTATTTAAACAATACAGAGATAGAAATTGTCAATCACCACAGTTATCCTCCTCATCACTGACAACAAATTGATGCATCTGAAAAAGTACAGGCTAGATGATATAATGATACGAGGAAATGTTTGTAGGATACGCTTGAATAATCCAGGATATTATGACCAATGCCAAATAGTTGTGGAGTGAACATAGAGAACCGCTCATTGCATAGCTCTTCGAAACTCTATCGAGAGACACACAGTCCAAAAACGATCCAATGACAGCTAGAAATCCGATTTTTGTCGTAAAGTTTACGTCGTTTCATTAGAGAACAACTAAATTATCAGAAACTCAGAGTTACCTAAACAGTTTCGTTAGTCAGCCATGCAGGATTGAGATATCTCAAGTAGAAAAGAAGTTCTGCAGTGCAAAATTAGTGAATCAGTTTGCAACCCTTGGGTAGTATGTGAGAATCAAGTCGAATATTCACAACAAGGTGGCATCAAAACTCTGTTCACCACAAGAATCACACAACAACAATGCCCGAAGATAGCGGAAGATTAGAATTCCTCTGATTCCCTCCATCTAAATCACATTGTAAAACAACATTCTATCATTGCGTGGTACAATTAAATATAGGAGTAGTGAGATTACAGATCTAAAAGTGACAAAGACAAACAATAAGTATGAAGTGAACAAATTACATGCGAATTTCAGAACACTGATACTCTGGGATACTCTAGGATAAAAGAGGATGTTAACTACAAAGTTAGTTGGAATATCCAAATCGGTGTAATTATCATAACCAGATAGTTCATGAGGTAATTTATGAGCAATGACTGCGTCAGACTTGCATTACTTGCAAATCTAATAGACTGTGAAGAATATAAGGGATTGGGATATCCACCATTTTTGAATTAAAACCTGAAGGTTTATGAACATGCAGTTGAGAAATGACATCATCTTTGAGTGAGTTTCCGAATAGTAAGTGCATGAAAAGTGGAAACTGAGTTGGAGGAAATAGGTAATTCTGACCTGTATTCGTGCAGTTCCCAAAGTGTATTTCAAGTAAAATGTATTTCAAATCGAATTAAGTTCGATTACCACAAATATCACATATGAGTCAGCTGCTTGTCAAACGAGGTACTGTAGTCTCCAATGACATCAGTTCTTTCGTGAATATCATGTCGTCCGGATCAACAGGTCGATACGAAGAAGTATTTACTCATATTCACTAACACCTTCATCTGAGTATATCTGTGAGTAACCTTGACACTTGATATCTTTTGGTGATTGACAATTTCTATCTCTGTATTGTTTAAATACTTACTGTTTATTGTTGATATGTTTCTTATATGAATTGAATTAGAATTCCACTAAATACAAATTCCTGAGTTCTGCCCTCTCTGTGTTTTGTTTGGATTCTTGTAATTCGGTCATCTCGAAATACTAATACTACGAATACAATAAATTACTACAAATTGGCGTCGCGACGGAACTAAATAACCTGGAAAAACTTCCTATTGATGGGTCTCCGCGGGAGATTGCTGATTACCTTGAATGCTTTGATGCATGGTGAATTTCAAAGAACGTTCAGGATGACAAAATACCAGCACATATCATCACTGCTATTGGGCTAGATGCGTATAGCCTAATGAAGACTCTGTCGTTTCCAGATAAACCAATTTCTCTGCCATATTATAAACTCCGTGAACTTCTGATAGATCACTTCCATATAACTACCTTAGAGACCAGAGAGAGGGCTCAACTCCATAAACTGGTTCGTGCTCCCAACCAGAAGATTAGAGACTTTATTCTGCAACTCCAAATACAAGCTTCAAAGTGTAACTTTGGAGATCAGCTGCATACTCAACTACGTGATCGTCTAATTGCTGAAATCAATATTCCTAAATTAGAGAAAGAGTTAAACCAGATTCCTTCTTGTACTTTTCAAAATGCTAAGGATTTATGTATTACATATGAAGATGTCAATAATGAATACTCTGCTCCCACTACGTCAGTATCTGATGTTATGCTTTCTAAAGTCGAAAATACAAGTGTTCATGGAAGAAATCCAAACTGCCATCCACAAGTAATAGAATGCAACCAGGGATCAAAAACATTAAACCGTGTTTATCCTGTGGAAAGTTACATCCACGAAGTACTTGCCGTTTTCGGGGTGCTAAGTGTCACAAATGTGGTAAAGTTGGACACATCAAGACTATTTGCAGAAGTTCGAATACTTATGTTGCTCAACATTCTTATAATTCTCCCAAGCTGTCTAGTAAAATGGAGTCAATGTGTCTGTCAACCTTTCAAAATACTCAATCTCATCTAATGAGAACCTTCACTACAATTTCAGCAACTGAAGCGTCAACTGTATCACGTGTTTTCAAAAATGAGGTAGCTGAGTTACAATGCGAACTGTCGAAAACACGAAAAAAACTGAATGAGTTGAGAGAGCAACTGATTAAAATGGAGGAATTGCTGCATATGCATAGACTGCGTCTGTTGAATGCAGAGCATACAAGTCCTGCAAAACGTTTCAAATCTCGAATTCTCAAAAAGCATCTGATGTCCACGACTTCTAATGTACATTATTACAAAGGGAAAGACTATAGACCTTCTGTTGGAATTATACTACAAAAAGTGCGAAATCGAGTGGTGAAGATAATAGACGTCAAAGATCACTCAGTTCATAACAGACACCTGGACAAAGTGACAATAAATGAAGTAGGTCGTTCCAATCATTATTTTAATGATTCCGCTAATAAACCTGATTTTGTAGATAATTCAGAAATAGGTCCAGATAATACTGATGAAAATAATATCACAGAATCAGTTAGGTCGAAGCTACTTGCAAGCAAACCGAGACATCGTTATGAGTACGCAAGGAGACATTCAACGTGTAGCGGATGTGGTGATTGACAATTGCTATCTCTGTATTTTTTAAATACTTACGGTTGATTGTTAATATGATTCTTATATGAATTGCATAAGAATTCCGCTAAATACAAATTCCTGAGTTCTGCCCTCTCTGTGTTTTGTTTGGATTCTTGTAATTCGGTCATCTCGAAATACTAATACTAGGACTACAAATAATTACTACATATTTTCTTCCTGACTCATTTACCAAATACTCAGTGAGTCCACTTATCAAATAGACTGAACAAATTTAGAGAGTAAAACGACATGCAGAGTTAACCGGAGGCTATGGAATTATGACTATTTAATTGACCAAAGTCGTGATGGCGATTTCACTTGTTTCCACAATGAATCTGTGGAATGTATTTCACAAGACGACTTGGGATCTGTGATTTGACACATCCTACCTGATATCGCCAACCACACAGATATGAATTCACCACGCGTTATCTCTGGTTATCACTGTAACCATTAGTTGGGCCACGATGAAGAGGATTCAGTAATCTAAAGATGACGTGGAATTACCTTCACAGTCGAGAAATATTCTTGAAACATCTCAGGATCAACACGTCGATATGCAAAATACTTAATTTAGGATCGAATAGAATTTCGAATGTGTTAGTCACCTCAAGTATCTTAAATGTGCATCATCATTTGCCTTTCACTGTACACAGCCAGTCGATATTTGAAGACGTCATTTTTGTGGTAATTGTGCCGATTTCGTGAACACATTCATAGAACGCTCCATATATGCATGTGCCGTTTTGAAAAACGTTTCTCAAATGTCCATTGAAGACGATATATCAGTCATGGTTGCCTTCATTATATAAGCATGTTCGTCAAGGTAATGATATCAAAGGCAAGCATATCACTTAGGAACACACTACGCTTCTTATGTTATGCAATACTTCGAACGATCAAGTGGGACATTAAAAACATTATCAGGCATAAGTCATCGAGGACAACATTCAGTTTGAAGGTTAGTATCGACTACTCCACTGTTATTTCCATTCAATCTCACCTTCACGTATTATGCCATTATGTTCTTGTTCTCGTTTCTGCCACACTGATCACGTGGACAATTAAAAAATTCAATTCTCATTCAATCGCAATTTTATTTTTCACTATATTTAAAACATTTACTCGAGGATGTCGATGCAGAGTATGAAACGACATTCAATATACAAAAATCACTCCTGAGTAGCCATGTGAATTGAAGCATGTAGCGGTAAATAATTCCTTGAAATTATTGACCACAGCAATCACTCACCATTGGATGCTGACCACCACTGTTTAAGTCGACTTGTTTAGCTGAAGGCTTCCGGTCAAGCATCCCCGCCATTTGGTACCTCGTCGTGTCACGTGCACGATCACTAGCTAGCTAAGCGTTCGTCTGAAGGCTTGTTTCGGTCCCGAAATATATCACGAAGTTTGGACGATAAATTATTGGCTTTTGCTTTGTTTTCGGTACGCGAGAATAATTTAGAGGCTGTGTAAGAGAATTTCGTCAAACCCCTAAACTCAGGAAGGCCTCTCATCTACTTATATTAGACCACATCAAATTCAAGTAAATCAAAGTTGACTGTACGGTTTTTCACCATGAAGTCGACAATAAGGAAGTAGGACTTTCAGGACAGCCTGAAGATGAATAAGAAATACTTCAGCTATGCATTAGTAAGTGTGGATTTCATGAGGACCTCAGCACACATTGAAGTAGTCAATCTAAGAAGAACCAAATATCAAGAAGCTAAGGTGAACTGTGAAGTGTGCGCTAATAGTGAAATTGCAAGAGTATGAGGAGTGCACCATTGTGAATTCAGATATATAACAGGGATCCTACAGTTCAGCAGAGATATCAAAACACTTCGTATATGAAATGCTCAGAATGCAGTTCTTCAATGACCATCATCAAACATGAATTCTACATGAACTCCAAAGTCAATGGTGTAATTATTGAGTTTGGATGTACACCTCAAACATTCACAGCATCATATTGGTCAGATGTTGTTAACAATATTGGGAATCGACAGACGCCTTAAACTTCACGAAATATTCCAGGAGGTCATTTAGTTCAGACTGACTTCACTTTCACATTTTTGACAGGCATGAGATAATTTGATATAAATCTGTTTCATCTTCCGTCTGGTGAACAGTCTGGATGGGATGATGTTTGCA